CGTGGAGCTCGGGGCCCAGGTTCGCTGAACATGCTGAATGAACCTGCGGTAGTTACGCAACTGGCCTTTCTTCAAATCCTGTGCTTCAAACAATTGCCAACAGTACGATTTTAATCGTACGGGGAATATCCTCAAGAACTTGATAACTGATGGTGAGGGCATTATCTTGTCGACAAGTTCAGCGTGTGATGCGCGAAATTACAAATACCCCATGGAAATAATGGACCGTTGTTCATTTGGTATTTTACATCGTTGAAAGTACGTTGTTTGTTTGGCAATGTACATTGTTTGTTTGGCATGGAACGTTCTTCGTTTCACAATGTACGTTCTTCGTTTGAGAAAATACATCGTTCGGCAATATACGTTGTTTGTTTTAAAAAGAACGTTCTTTGTTTGTAAAAGTATGTTGTTTATTTTAAAAAATACATTGTTTATTTGTAAATGTACGTTGTTTGTTTGAGAAAGCACGTTTATTGTCTAAAATTGTATTTTTGGCGGTGATTGCCTTCCATATATGTCGGTCAATCCGCCATGCTTGTTTGTCATCTGAGTCTGGGAATATGTTTCCCAGATTAAATGAGCATTTTAACAGCGAGGGGGGAGGGGGCTATTTTTTATAGGTCTATTCTATCAATTTTAATGATTTGTCACCAATCCAACGAAATGAAGTCCAATTTGATAAAATATCAGATTCTGGTCTATAGTATCATTTCATGTGCAAATTGTTTTTGACCCATCCAGAAGCAAGGGATCGCTTCAACAATACAAAAGTTCGCAATTTCAATTCATCATTAAAATACTCAAGTTCAGTATAAAATACTGTCTGTACCAGGTTCTAAAGTAATGGTATAAACTTAGCTACTACAAATATTGTATTGAAGAGGAGTTGCATTCTTCTTTACTCCAGGTTTATATGGAGAGATAACAAGAATAATTGATGAATATAAAAAGAAACAGATGTTCCTGGTACCATCTGGTACTACCTGATGCCAAGGTTAAGGTTACTATGGTAACTCCGAAGACTGGCGGTGGTACTGTAGTAATACCACTGAGGATGTAGCCTTTGTCTAGTTATAGTACAATGGGACATCGTGAAGAAAACAAAATGTTCTTATTTTACATAACGTGGTGAAGAATTTGTATCATCTTTTCATTCTCTAATAATTCAGGTATTGAATTCAGTTCATGTTAAATCCATAGGCGTTCAAGTACTATGCATCCATGGTAAACCTATCAAACTATACTTAGCGGGAGTGAATATTTTTACCATGAGGAAGGAAATCCAAGTTTCCTGTATAACCATTGTGCTGGAAACAGTCTACCAACCACTACCAACACAATGTTAAGCTTGCATTATGCCTATATTTCAACCAGAATAGGTAAGTTAATTACTTAAAAACAATGTAATTAAATATCAAGTTAAATTTTCTTATAAATGGGTTTGAGAAGGGACTGGAGTACTGTAGTGTAATACTGTACGTCATCATTTAATCACTATAACAACTCCCTGATTTAATGTACACCTGTCTCTTATACACATCTAGATGTGTATAAGAGACAGGTCTTACCACATTCATATTTCAAAATCTTCCGGATCTGTCTCTTATACACATCTAGATGTGTATAAGAGACAGTTCACATATTCCCTAACTTAGATTAGATTTAGAATTGTAGATAACATTTACAGTATGCATAGACGAATTCAACGGGGAGCTACTCCCCCCACCCCACCTCCCCACCCTAATATTTTTAAAATAAAAATAATGGGGAGAAAGAAAATTATATATTCAAATTTAACACTGAGAGTGCCATTTTCAGCCATCTAGAGGTGCCATAGCCATAAATTCATGCCTCAGTCCCAACTATGGCGTAAGTGAGGTTGCCTATAGACTTTTCATCTGGAACATTCCTAGCCGTCACTGGTATGTGAGCCTGAATGAATCATGTAAAAATAAATGATTAATGGAGTAGAAACAACAACAATAAGCAATCTCATTTCACTGTTTGATACTTTCAATTAGCCTTTCAGCAGGGGTGCCACCCCCTACCCACCTTTTGGAAAGGAAAAAAAAAATGATAAAACTGATCGCACAAAATGCATCAGAGATTAATTTCTGGCGTCTAGAAAACAAAAAATCCGCGGGAGCATGCCCCAATCCCCTAGGGTGCCCCTTCCCCTTTTCGGACATCTCTGGATCCGCCCATGCCTTCTGTCTCAACACACAATCAATGACAAAATGCACCAGCACCAGTCTCCTGACTGACCAACTGGGCCTAAACTTATTCTCCACAAGTCTAATTGTTAAAATGGGGAGGGGGTGCATTCCATACTGCACTACCGCCATTCTACATCAGGTCAGTAGTAGAGCAGGGGCAGTGTTAGCTGGGATTGCGTTGGCATTGATTTGGATTAATAAAGGAGAATTCTATATTCTTTTTGAAACATTTGTTTGGGCATAAAACATTTAACAGCTTAAAATGACCCAACACTGCCCAGTTTTTCTAGACTTAATCCCAGGTTCAACGGTTACCCCCACCATAGATATTCCCCTAGATTATGTTTGTCTCTGTTGAAAATTGTTAGACCACCTACAAATAGCTTAGTCATTTGTTTTATTAACAGAATATTACCGTATCAATTCTTACACTGACCTTTACTGTTTTTACAGGTTAATATTTTTGTATGATATACATCATTAAATAGTCTCTTATCTATTATTTTACAGATTGATTTGAATCAGTTATCAAAATGGTGTACTTAATAAGTATTTGGCTGTTAGTTGTCATAGCAACTTTTCAACTAGGCTTGGCTACACATTTACCGAGGCGTGGGTACGTTACACATTGCGAGATTCAGATACACAATGCAGAAAAACTTACAGCAGCCTTCGAGAAGCGCACCAAATTCATTCATGTGAAATTAAACTTTGGCGAGAAAATCAATTTACAGGATAATACTTCTGACGTAGTGGATGCGTATCACTGGGTTTGGGTCGTGGGAAGTAAGGGCAAGTTCCTTCTAAGCCTTCCGTTTGACTTTCCATCCCTCTCCCTGGGAACATTAAGCCTCAGGTTGGACACTGTACGGCTGAATGCAAGTTTACCACCAGACTCGGATTGTTTCAAAACATCATCGGACAGCGACAAACTTGCTTTCATAGCAAAAGCGTTGCTGGCAACTGCGAATGAACTGATATTGCGTGAGTCAGAAGTGTGCTTAGAGAAACACGATCGAGAGAGCACAATGTATACATACTATAATGTACTACAAGGACAGATGTTGTACGAGTGTTGGAACCATCAGGATGATTATCCCACAACTAAATCACGTTCTGTGCGCCCTTGGATGAAAACTATTCTGTTACTAGCTTTTATAGTCTCATTATATTTCCCACTTCTGCTGAAATTTTTTATGCGTTCTCATCCCGAGAGTAAAATCTATCAAGGGAGATCGGTAGAGTACTTGAGCTTCCTGACTGACATACCAACTGGACCCAAGTACTGGCTGTTTTTCAAAGGTAATTCAAATAACTACATATACATTGCACGTTGTTTAATTTATCTCTTCCTGTTCATCCTCCTCCAGTTTCTACCGTACATAATAGCGTTCGTCACAGACAAAGAGGACTTCTACTTGCGGTGGGAAGCTGTTGTGCAAAATGGTAATTCAGCAGTGGTTCACTGCATTGTGTGGTACGTGCTATCCAACAGCATCTTCACCTTATTTGTGGTTGGCATGATAATCACACTGAATTGGAAAAGTGATTGGTTTGAGAGAATCTTCATAGAAGATAGTTATGATCGTACACGCATATCCTTGGATTTATTTGATCTTCCGGATGCTTTAAAAATCCCAAATGATCCATATTCTGGATTAAAGCGATTTTTTTATGTTCTTCAAGCACGGGCGGAAATGCTTGTTAGAGTGGAACTCTGGGAGTCGGGATACTATGGGATTAAAATATTCTACAAGTTCTTTAAAATTAAGCTAGGTAAAGGCTGGTCGGTTTTCATCATTGTAACATGTTTTCTACCGTACTGTGTGGTATTTTTACTAATCGTCTCACTGAATTGCATTCCATTCCTCTACTGCTTCATGCGAATGTTTCAAGTCTGGCTCACCAGTACGCAAATTTCAAAATCTCTTCAACTAATGTTGCTATGGATACTTTTTATCTTCGTTGAAGTCATCCTACTAGGGAAGTGCATCACTATTATGTTGTACCTGATAGAAATCATAGGCTATACGTTCACAGGTATGATCATAAATGCCGGTGCTCTCAGTAAATTCTACGTTTTCATAATAGGAATCGTTGCTTACATCTTAAGTGTCTTGAACAGTTACACAGCTGAGTATTCAAATCTTTTATTCACAATAATAGAAATTGCGAAGAAGGTTTTAGACAAGAACTTGACTGAAGTTGAAACAAATAAAAATGAAGATCGGGTAAATAGAAATTTCATTCGGATGGATTCGCAAGTGATTTGCACAAACCAATCATATCCACTGTTCAATAGGAGTATGATGTTAAATCCTCCACCAGCTGTCATGCTCAACTCGCGGAATTTTGTGTCTGTGCAGCAGGAAGTCTTTGAGTACATTGCTCAGAAGTACAAACCATTTTCAGTCGAAATAACATTAAGAATCTTAAGAGTAGTACTATACTTAATAACGCTAGTGCTTGGCTTTTCTTTACTGTGCGTGGTCAATAGCTTTGAGCACCTCACAGTTGTTCAGAATCTGTTTGCATCTGCTGGAATTGTCTGCACTTTTCCCATTCTCTGTTTAATGTTACAATCTAAACAATCGTGTCTCAATCAGGAAGCCATCATGCGGCACATGATACTACGAGACATTGAATCATTTATGAAGGATGATGCTAATTAAACATACATCATGTTATAAACATTAAGCATTTAAAATGTGTTATACGGTACTCACTGGCTATGACACAGTAGATAAGTAAATCAAGCCGTATTGACGTTCCATCTGCATTATGAAGAGGTACAGTAGGCTGACATGCAATGCTCAACAAGGAGCTGGCAAAGACAAAAAATAAATAAATAAATAAAAAATTGTCACATTTCAAAACACAAGGTAAAGGGTTGGTTCTCAATGAAACAATTTCTTTACAATGTGGTGAGCCCTAATTACCTATGTGAGCCCCAGTAATTTTTGCAAGGGTCGCAGACTCAATATATTGTAAATAAACAAGTACTGTATATAAATTTTGTTATGTTGATTTACAGTATTGAATGTCTATGTCCTATACTGCCTTACTGAATTATGTTTACTTAGGTATCCACATGGGATTCGGTCATCAGGAAATGTGTGGTGTTGTATTTTTTTTTTTCACTTTTGTGCAGTAATAAGTAATGACTAATCATGCACATCCATCGGATTTACCCTTTCAGCCATCTTTAACTGCCAGACGACTATCTCTTTGCCCCCGAGGGGGCATAGACAAAAAAAAAACCACATTTAATCCCAGAAAAGGCATTTCTGTAGAAATGACTTCAGACATTGTTTGAAAAAAATATAAAACAATTGAATTGGTAGCAGGTAGTGTCACCCTATTCAATTATGTTTACAGGTACAGTAACAGTACTCTGCTGCAAGTACTGTAGTTCTTATCTTAGACAAAACTTTTGTTTTTATAATTAAAAAAAAAATAAGGCGTTGGCCCGGGCCGGCCGGCATGGCCGCTTGAATCCGCCACTGAATAGTGCTATACAAATGCTACAACATACGTGTATATTATATGGAAAAAAAAAACAATTAAAAGCTGGATGTATATGTAGGTGTGTGTGTGTGTGTGTTTATCCTCATTTATAGTTTTAAAATTGTTCATGTTACTGTTTCTAGTCTCGTCTTTGAACTTTTAAACTTTGTTTAAGTGTTTCCTAGAGAAAACAGTCACCACCATCACAATCATCATTTCTTTATTTGCCTTTATAGATATTATATTTAAGAGCAGTTTAGCTCAGTCGGCTAAAACTGACGGTAGCCACTGTGTGTGCACTGAACCGTAGAGTCCCTGGTTCAATTTCCATCGCTGCTCTCCTTGTGTTTCAGCTGGTTACGATTGCGCACCGTCTTTCGGATGAGATGCTTTAGCCGTTGGTCCTCCTGTGTTCATTATGGCCCGTGTGCATGGTAAAAACATGGTACACTATTCGGAAAAGAGTAGGGGATTGCCTCCCGGTGTACTGCCCAATCACCACCACAAGAAGGACCCCACTGGTAGTATGTCTTCCTTAGACTTTCATTGGTCCTTGGTGTTTACACCGAATAACTCTATCCATCCATCCATCCATATAATACAGTACCTACATATAGAATAAAACAACTTCAATACATTTCCAATGGACCTTTTCGCTAAGCCCCGCCGACAGTGTTAAACAGAGGCGAACATGTTCGTTTGTGGGACAACACGTGTGTTTGTGAGACGCGCGCGTATTCCTAGCGCTGTTCTGATTAGTCAGTTAGGTTTGATAGACACTCCGGAAAGGTCTATTGCGCCTAACCTTTTAACTTGTTTGCGTGATAGTAGCAGGAAAGCAGGCATGGAGGTCTCAAAGCCTACATATAGCATGATCAGGCAGATGGCAAAACCAGACATCGCAACGGCCATTTGGTAACTGTTCCAAACCTGCCTCTGGTTCATCTGCTCCTCTGTTCAAATCATGTGAAATCGTACCTCACCAGGGTTACAATTTTCTTCTATCTTTAAAATATAGGACTATTGCATGTGTAAAATGTTAAATGGTGATGGTGAACATTGGTGAATGGTGAACATTGGTGAATGGTGAACATTGGTGAATGGTGAACATTGGTGAATAGTGAACATTGGTGAATGTAAACAATATAATAATGGGAAGGTTAAATGCTTTAAATTGATAAAATTAGGAATAAATAAAAATACCTTATTTTTGGAGATTTGAAGGCAGCAGCAGGTGTAATATAAATAAAGAAATTTGTTTCTGAAATTTCCATTTTTTCATGGCGGCGGGTGGCTAATTGGCCAAAAATATTTTTATTCTAAATCATTATTGGCAGGCAACGGGTTCGCTAAATGAGGTATTAAAAAAGTCTTGCTATACCAGAATATAGCCTTGTTTCGGTCGATTTCCTGTTTAAAAATAATAATAAGAAGAAAATCACAGTACTGTACTGTACAGTACTTGTCCAACACTACATTGACATATTACTGCATTAATAATTTACATAATGGGTGTTCAAATTTTAAGTTAGTGGTCAGTTCCAATTTAGCATTGGTTTTTTTAACATCAACTATGACACGCCTTGATTGTAAAGATGAGAGAGTGCACTGATAGTACTAATTACTGTTGTTTAAAACAATGCCAGAGCCAGACATTCCCCATTACCCAAACAAACTTACTTCAAAAATACACAGCTAGATTCCTGTAAAATATGTTTTTAAAACAGTGTTTTTCAACAGAATGACATGCCCCAAGCCTCTCCACAGATCCGTTGCTGGTAGGTTTCGCATCATGTGATTGTCCTCCCCACTTAATCCTTTATTTCCCATTAGTCTCCCCCTCTCCATGCCAATACTCTATGCCACTAGATACAGTTAGCTACCATACACTCAGAAAAAGCCAGACAATGCCAGAGTAGGTGGTTGTGTTTCTATTAACAAAATTTTTTTCTGCAGGTACCGTACTCGCACGAATAAGCACCCCATTTGTATAAGCGCCCCTATCGAATAAGCACCCCTCATAACGAGAAAATTTCCTTAAGCGCCCCGTTTGAATAAGCGCCCCCTTCTAATTTGAATAAACGCCCCCTTCTAATTTGAATAGTTTCATGGCGGCGGGTGGCTAATTGGCCAAAAATATTTTTATTCTAAATCATTATTGGCAGGCAACGGGTTCGCTAAATGAGGTATTAAAAAAGTCTTGCTATACCAGAATATAGCCTTGTTTCGGTCGATTTCCTGTTTAAAAATAATAATAAGAAGAAAATCACAGTACTGTACTGTACAGTACTTGTCCAACACTACATTGACATATTACTGCATTAATAATTTACATAATGGGTGTTCAAATTTTAAGTTAGTGGTCAGTTCCAATTTAGCATTGGTTTTTTGAACATCAACTATGATACGCCTTGATTGTAAAGATGAGAGAGTGCACTGATAGTACTAATTACTGTTGTTTAAAACAATGCCAGAGCCAGACATTCCCCATTACCCAAACAAACTTACTTCAAAAATACACAGCTAGATTCCTGTAAAATATGTTTTTAAAACAGTGTTTTTCAACAGAATGACATGCCCCAAGCCTCTCCACAGATCCGTTGCTGGTAGGTTTCGCATCATATGATTGTCCTCCCCACTTAATCCTTTATTTCCCATTAGTCTCCCCCTCTCCATGCCAATACTCTATGCCACTAGATACAGTTAGCTACCATACACTCAGAAAAAGCCAGACAATGCCAGAGTAGGTGGTTGTGTTTCTATTAACAAAATTTTTTTCTGCAGGTACCGTACTCGCGCGAATAAGCACCCCGTTTGTATAAGCGCCCCTATCGAATAAGCACCCCTCATAACGAGAAAATTTCCTTAAGCGCCCCCTTCTAATTTGAATAAACGCCCCCTCAATAACCCAATCAATCCTGAGACTGGATGTTGGCATGATTTGAGGTGTGGAGTGGAATCACATTCTCCTTTAGTCAATATCAAAGTGAGGATATCTTTGACAGACAGTATATTTCCAACTTTCATCTTCTTTCATTTGTCTATAGCCTAGTCTTACTACTCCTTTTCCGACAATTTGCACCTTTAACACATTCTCATCTAAGTTTTCAAGAAAACCGGCAATGATCATGCCGTCCTGCTATTCTCAATCGACCGATGGCAAACAAGCTAACCACCACCACTAATTTCATCTGCTATTCTGCTGTTATGTAATACTGTACTCACGACATTCTTGTCATGACAAGCCATATGCTCTCTGGACGATTATCTTTTCCGCCACAGCACCATTCGTAATTTGCGGTTTCCTGATGTCCTTATATAATCGTTTTTCATTCAAAATGTTCCTCTTGGATTTAATAAGTTCTCATAAGAACCCCTCAATTTTCATCTATTTCCATAAGCGCCCCCTCAATTTTCACTCTGTTTTTATAAGCGCCCTGTTTGAATAAGCGCCCCTCAAAAAGTGCAAAAAATATTTTAAGCGCCCGGGCGCTTGTTCGTGTGAGTACGGTACTGAAAATCGGCCGGAAAATTATTTATTTTTTAACATCTTTGGCGGGCCAGACTTGGCCTGCGGGCTAGGGTTGAATACCAGGGCTTTATATCAATGCACATTAAATGTCTATTGACAGATTGCTTGAAAGCACTTGCTCATAAAAATAAACCTTGTGGCTTAATGCAGTTAAATGTACTGTATAAACATCCTTGTCACACCCTTTATGACTCCTTTATAAAAAACAAAACAGATCTTTTATCCTCACCTTTTTTAAGGACTTGAGTTTGACCTTTGAAAAGTAAGTAGACAAAGAAACAATATTTTGCAGCAGCAATTTGTTAATTTATTCAACACCTACACAATACAGCTGTAAAGAAATAAACAAACCTAAGAACTGAATCACGATTAGAAAAAACTAAATGTTACTTTCATGTAGCAAGCAACAGATAGCGTTGCCCTCTTTTGTGATGTTGACAATGACTAGTATACATTCCTCGTTATCTTTAACATATGGTAAGATTTGAAAAACATCTTTACCACACCAGGTAATGTTTGCTTTTATCCTATTTTAGTATGAATCAAGTTGCTTATTGTCGTCTTAAGCCTGCAATCAATGCGCCCGACGGTCCTGGCGATTCTATAGGGAACGCAATGCCACAGATCGTTTTTTAATGACGACGATGCATGCTAACCGACAATCATGAAATGGTGTCTTGTCGTCAAGCGCTCACATTCATCGAAGTTGGATTCGTCGGCCGACAATCGTACAACACAGTAAGTGTCTTCCTTTACTCTACTTGATGAATTTTCTGTTTTTAGTTTAAATTTATGAACGATTGAAAATTGATTTTAAGGCTTTCGTACATTCCCTATCAAGGAAACTACCTTATATACTAGGCCTACTATACTACTTCATACACCTAAAACTGATAAAATAAATATTATACTGTTCCTGTTAGTACTTTTCTTAACTTCCTCAAAAATTTTGGTTTTGTTTGATATTAAGTATCTAGCAAAATTTTATTTATGTTGAACTACCTTCTTTATTTTTACTGTAAATGATGGTTTAAACAAAAATCAGTAGGCATGTTGTTTTCCTTCTATTTCTTTAATATTTTATATTTTTATTGCAATTACCCACTGATTTAGAAACATTATTGTCAATATCTATAATTTTAAACCAATGAAAACAAATTACATACCTATGTAGGAGGAAAAAAAAAAGTATATTAAGATACAAAACAAAACCCAACAATATATTTAACTATTTCTAATGTACATCTTCAGACACTTGAGGTAAGTTGTGATATTAAAATGAAATCTTGTAAATATTATTTACAGGGCTACCACACCAAAACTTAACCTCTGATTTGCATACCTGAACGACTTTAAATATTCAAATAAAAAATATTGATGCAAACAAAATTCAACATATTTTCACTTTCACATACTGGTCTTTTTCATTCTAATACAGTATAAAGAATTACAAAATAGAGTTGATGTTTACTAACTTGAAGGTTTAGTATTTCTGTAGCGAAATAAGCACCATGGTTTTATGTTTTGAAAAAAAAATCATTTCAAATTCTGGAAAAGCTACTCTCAATGTGTTACAGTATTCTAATGCCAGATACCAAAAATATCAAAATATTAGTATTATAACATTGTATAGAAAGTTCAGAATGAACTAAGGATAATATGTAAATGATAATGACCACCTGTACCCAGGTGTCAGAATAGAAATCAAAATTATAAGCGAGGTATTGTACTGTATATAAATGTATATTTTTAATATTATTTAGGAATCTGTCAAAGTCCATATGATAACTAAAATTTGAGTAACCAATTTTAGAATTTCTACAAGGAAAGCTCCATATCACAGAAAATAAGGATTATTAACACCTGTTTACAGGCGAGAAAAGAACAAAAATTATATGGGATAAGCAATCATAAAGATAGTAAATTAGAAAAAGTACATCGTTTAAAAAAAAAGTTTTTATTGAATATAATATGCTGTTTCACATCTGCTTTGGATACCATTGAACCCAAAATTCCTGGTTTCATCCAGATTTAACTGGTTTCAACATATCTAGCCAATTTAAACCAGTTTTCTTAGAATGAATGTGTCAAACTTAACAACTAGCCAATCAGCACAATATCCAAGGGACAAGCTTAGCGGAAAGATCCATACCATAAATAGAATAGGACTAAAATTTATTCAATGCCCAATTTAATGTTTTAATCCTGTACAAGAAGCTTGTGAAAACAGACACATTTTTTACAATTTCATGTTTGTACAATTTTTCAAAAATACATTCACAATAAAATAGTTGTTTTAATAGTCAGCACAATTCATCACCTCATCTACTGCTACTGCTGTTAATTTTATCTTTGATTTCAGATTTCAAATGAAATGCATCACAGACCACGATTTGTCTGTTTTTGTGATATCACACACGCACACACACAAATATATACACACATTACTACCTTATTAATAATCACTCGCACACAAACCCTAATTGAACATAGGTTTTTTTTTTTTTTTTTTAAATTACTGTACTGGGGGAAACTACTACATGAATAAATATTACTGTACTTTGGTAATTATGATATTTTTGAATACAGTATAAGGTATCTAATCACCAACATCCGGTGGAGTTCCATCCTGCAGTAACAATTTTACTGTCTTTATTTACGCCACATTAATAAATTTCATAACTTTATTTGAATCAAATTAATAAATATAATAAAATATTCATTCTATAGCATATATAGTATGTTGTTTTGTAACAATATATATTTTGTAATGGTTGAAGTCATAGTACTTTTAACAACATCTCTTGGATCAAATAAGAACACAGTGTGGGTAATTTTAGGTTCACAATCATATTTTATCAACACCAGTATTTGACTATTATTATAATTATTATTATTGTTATTACTAGATTTCAAACCAATCATTTGGGGGAAATACAAAACAACTTAAAACACAGCAGACCCAATTCTGACAAAATCGAGGCACTATTCAATTATTCTTATCTTACTAACTTGGATCGCAATACCTCTAATCCCATCTTCATAAATCTTGTACAAATGCCGAAAGAACATTTTTCTAAAACCATTATTTCCGCTTTTCATGATGCAAGCAGAGCTTGTTGGCGATGTTTAGGTTGCCACCTGGACAACCGTTTGACGATCTCGTAAATGGCATCTCGCAGACGTGCAGACCACAATGGGACCTCCTGCCAATCTTAAGTCTTCCTTTCACTGCTTACTTCCTCTTCTTTTCTGGGGCAACTATTTTAAATAAACACAAATACATTAATAAAGTATAAAATTGATAATGTTAGACATACTTAGAATTTTCCAAACAAAATCTTTAAATTCAATTTTGCACTATCAATAGCAGACTTTCTAAATTATCATTGAAACATTGTAACATAATATTTAAATTAGGTTTAAGGTGAAATAGTATTGCTCCATTTCAGTTGCAAACAAATTAAGTATTATGTGAAACTTATTAATTACAACTAAATGAATCACAACACAACAAAATTGCATGCTTAAGACTCATCGAAAAAATACGAAGCAAGCATGCTATTACCGAAGGACAGTGCGACGTCAAATTATACCTTTATAATTAACAATTATCCAAGATCCTCAATTCTCTATAACCAAATCTTTTTATAAGGCTTGGAATGGAGAGTGGAATTGTTTTTTGTTGAGAATAATTGTGACAATTTTGCCAGAACACAGGGATTTTGAATTTTTCCTCCATTTCTTTTTTGTCTATAGTGACTCTGAAATAGTGCAGTGATCGATCTGAACTCTAAAACACTTTACAAGACACAAACATAGAATAGAAAGAAGAAGTGAAATATGGAAATGAGATTAATGCAGAAACTTTGTTTAATCTAAAATTAAAATACCAATTTTGAATACCAATTAGCTTATATGAAAATCAAGAAGTGAGCCTTGGAGGTAAAAATTAAAAGCAAAATATGAGAAAGAATGAAGCAACTAAAGTTAAATAAATGTCATATATTATTGCTAAAAAATGAGTTGCAAGTGTTAGTCTTGGATTCGGGGATGACTAGCCTAAAAATTCTAGTTTTCACCGAGGTGTCCAACGATTTGCATATCCTGGTGGATGTTTATTCAGCATTCGTTTAATTATCTTACCAAAATACTTTTATTACCTCCAGCCTGGATGTTGTCGGCTAATTTTCTTGACGTCCTTCATCAACTTGAAATCCATCGGCATGTCCAAGGTTAAAATCTCTCCATTTTGTCACCCATCTCAACAAATCATTTTCTATTCATCTTATTCGCAGTAATTTCTTCCTGGGGTTTCTTTAAATTCATACCTCGAATATCTAATTCTTAAGTGGTATTTTAAGGCTACCTTGTTCCAATTTTAGTAGTGTGTATTTCATGCTGTTGAATTTGCTGTCAGCACCCATTTAATTATAAACACCATGCAATTAAAACAATCATCAATCACTCTCAATTCAGTACAGTTAAAAATATAACAAATTGTCAGTATTTTACATTTTATTCAATTCTCAGGGAGGAATAAAATATAACAGTGAAAATCAAGGGCATGTAATGTTTAAAAATTGAATAGGCATCTTCTTACTTATCGTAAGAATATATATTTTCCGACTGACAAAGAATCATTGTAGATCCACAAAACGCCACCTTACCCGAAGATTGATGGCACACTTTGGACGTTTCAAGTTCATTTTTTATACAGAATACATTTGATACAATAAATCAACAATTAAACCTGTAGATATGTATAAAATTGAGTTTGAGAATACATTCAGCAGTTACTAACGATTATTCAATTTAATTAAACAACTGCCGATGATCAAGCTGGTCTGAATAATCACATGACCAAATCGAAATTACAAATTTTTAACTTAACATTGCCTTAACCCCTCATTGCTAGACAATCCAGCAATTGAGACTACTGTACTTCCACTCTTTCCTCAACAATGCTTTGTAAAGAAAATTAACATTGATCAACTTCTGAGAACTGGAGTAACTTGTACTAAATACATTATAAACTCACACACAGATTGACTAGCTTAACAAATGCATCCTGTTATAATCTATTATTGCAAAAACTTGGGTAGTCGCAGATAAATTTACTAGAGGGAGGATGTACTAGACATGTATTTGCTGTGTTAGGCATCATTGCATCAGTATTTACCAGGCTTCTCACAATCTTGCACATGTCATCATTCACACTACCTCCCCCTGTTGCCAAAGCAATATTGAGGACATAATGCCCTGACAGAAATATGACATGAAATATCTGTAAGTACAGTTACATCTTAGCAAGTCATGAACAGATTAAATGCCATCTATTAATACACTCAAATTACTATAGGCACCTATAGATTAATGCGACAAATACCTGTGATTTACCCATATAAGAGTGCGGTATGACATCATCAAGGTCATATATGAGCCTATCAAATATATTTTTTGTGTGTGTACACTGACAGAGCATAATGTAAGTTAACTACTGTATTCTAGTGTTATAATCAGTGAATTAAACTCTTGGCTGGCATTCTGGGGACACTTAATAATAAATAAACAAAATATAATAAGGATACAGTTTACCCCCCAATTCGCAACCACTTTTGGGACCTAAAAATATGGGGTGTCTCAGGGTTCCGTCTTCAATCTAGCTTTGTTTAAATTATTAAGATTGTTAGTTGGTACTTTTGAAAAGTGCTTTGGAATTAGAGGGATCTTGGTGTTACAGGGATCTCAAATTGGAGGGCAACTATATTTGCATAAATATGTATATGTATTTCTGGTATGAAGAATGACCTACTACCAGTTGTATTTTTCAAAACATAGGACTTTCCAATCATGAAATTATTTAGGTATGGAGCATTAAAAAGCAACACCTTCATGCATATTTTCTTTGCAAATTTTTAAGTATGCTGTAAATGAGTTAAGCCAATAATTCATTGCTAAACACCTGGCTATAAAGGTGAATACTGTACTAACAGTACTAAATATTAGTGAACATTTCCCACAAACATTTATGACCACGTAAAAATACGGGTTTTCATTTTTCCCCCTAAAATTACTCCTTATCTAACCACTAAATACAAATTTATTGACTAATAATTCAGTGACAAAAAGTGAATACAGTATTACATCTATTTTAAATCTTCCACATTACATTTATTTCTTGCTCATCAACAAATAATTAATTGGAATGCTAACAAATTATTGTTAAATTATCCAAAAAAAAAAAGGAAAGAGATTTTGCCTTTAGTTTAAGTGTAATTATTTACAACACAGATTTTCTCACAGAACAATTAAACCTATAAAGTTTTCAAATTTTGTTATACATTTCATACATTTCTTTGTCACAGTTTTCATTAATATATTTGACTTCTCAGAATTTTCTCGTCTCCTACTAACTGTCAGCATCTGTAGATGTTTACTGTAAAATACTAAATTAAAACCGATTACAAACATGACAAGATAAACAAACAAAATTGTTCCCGTATCAAATGCTACAAGTCATATTCTCAGAAAGACTTGATAAAATAATATTTACATCCAACCATGAGTATTAGTTAGTAAACAGTTAATTCTGAAAAATCAGTACACACAAAGTCTGTCAATCAATCATTCAAACAGATCAAACATGGTGAGAGTAACTGAAAACAGCATGTTTTAGGTGATTGTCAAAGCTATTTTAAATGCATTCTATAATGAGGATATAATTACTGTTTGTGTTGCTTTGTTTGTTCTGAACCAGAGTAATAATCTGATCAAGAACTATTTAATATATTTTATAATATGATACAAACAATACAAACATTTTTATCTATAATAATTGGAACAAACTTTTTTTTCCCCTAGAATATTAAGAACATATTATGAAACATCTACAATTTAATAATTTCTGAATTTGTTCCTATGTATATGTATTTTTTCAAACAATAAGTAAACCAAATAAAAAGTTAGCTATAAAAATGAAATTACGCCAATGGATGAGTTAATATATCTTTGGTGTAGACTTTTTATACGAAATGCAAAGCTTAAATTGAAAATTAAAGAAGAAAACAGAAGGAAAATAAATAGGGATAAGTTAATGTCCCACCACCTGATCCACCATCCAATATTTTATATATTTTTTTTTAAGATACACTGTTGGTAAAATATAAAGGAGAAAGTAATTCATTAGCTTAAATGAGACACAGATTAATGGTAATTATTTTCAATCTGCAGACTTTTTCCTGCAAAAATCCTTAAACTTGTCAATTTACCGTTCAATGCAACAAACAGGAACAGTATCATTTACGCATATCTGAAAATTTTATTTGTTTAGCACAACAGCATATCTTTAAATCACCAAAATTAAGTTTTATTTCAAACAAAAAAAGGCTCTTGCCACACTACCAAGTCTTACGTGACATTTATTATTTGCTCATATATGGGCAGGAAGAAGTTAAATCACATCCATATATGGGCATTGCAAATGTATTTGTCACATAAAAATTGATAGTGTCGCACAGAGGTTAAGGAGGAAAAGATGAGCAGAGAATTATGTAGTTTATGTGTGTGATGGTTCTTGTCATGAAGTGACTTAGAAATAGAAATTATGAAAACAAAACAAAAAATTAAACCAAATTGCACAGTAGAAAATATGGTGCAGCATGCATGCTGGGAAGTATCAGGTGACTGACTAGGCTCTGGGTACAGACACTAAGCATCAATACTCAGTTATATGACACGTTCTACTGTGTTTTACTATGGATAGACGACACCCACTCCAAAGTAAGTAAGTCTATAGCGGATGGCTAAGCCAATTCTTTTAAAAGCTTCGCAGGCATGTTTGTGCCGATTTTAGCGACTGCCTACGCATTCAACACAAGACCTTGTCAGTCAGAATATTGACAACACATCCCGACAATTACGTTTATATTTATTGATGTCTGTATCAATAATGATAATCAATTAATTTTTTTACGATTTATTAATCATGTCCAGTGTATGAATATGATGTCATTTGTGGCTAGCCTCCATGGTACAGTCTTTCATTGGACAGTTATCAGTCTACCATTGTTAAAGAGGAGTATAATATAACACAGCAACTGCTAGAGCTATAATAGAAATTATCCAATGAATATCTTTGAAACAGCTTTTACCGTCTGTGATTCGACGAGCAACGAACTTGAGAGTCTCGTCCAGTAGAATTACTGGGATTGAGATTTTGACCACTGCTATCCATTCGGTTATGTTCAAAGGTGTGATTTGGAAAACAGTCTGAAATATACAATATAAACCAACAGTTAACAATAAAACAAACAAAACCCCAATATTATTAGACTGGATAGGATTTATTACATGTAAACTTCAAGGATAGCCCACAAAGTGTGAAGACATATTTGCAGTGGGGTTCTTCTGGTGGTGATTGGGCAGCACACCAAGAGACAATTTCCTACTCTTTTTCTGAAGAGTGTACTACGATCTTTAACGTGCACACAAGACCAACAGCACCAACGTCTTTTCCAAAAGACAGTGTGCTTTTTTATACACACAGCCCGCTAGCTGAAACACAAGGACAGCAGTGAATGGAATTGAAGCGGGTACCAAAGAATCTCCTAGTTCAGTGCATACGCAGTTTAGCCGGCTCTGCTATGCTGCTCAACAATACAGGTTTGAAAATTAACATTTAATAACCAAGGCGAGAATTTTTTATGCTTTGTTTCGCGAACATATTTTGTTAAAGACGTCAGAGAAGGGTGGAAAAAAATTGTTTTCTTAGTTAGCAAATAGTTTTGCCAAAAATATCCACACTGAGCAGAAAATAAAAATAATTTTATTGGGGAATGTAAACAGTGTAGTAATGGGATGGTTAAATGCTTTAAATTTATTGAATTAGGAAGAAATGTACATGTCCTATTTCTGGCGCTTTCACGGCAGCAGTGGGCTTAATAAAAATAAAGAAAAACTTTTCTCTTTTTCTGAAATTCCATATTTGGTGGCGGTGGGTGTGCTAATTGGCCAAAATTTCATATTCGAAAAACGTCACTGTTTGCGGGTGGAGGGTTCAATATACAAGGTATAAAAAAAAGTCTTGTCTAATTGTGGTACAAACAAGTGAATTTCTTACATAAAAAAACGTGTTTCTACTTACTGATAAGAAATCAACGTAGAGGATTACGAAGTGAAGACCCATTGAAAGAGCAATAGCTCCTAGCAACCATGGATTAGACCAAGGTGGCATTGACAATAGTGACTGGTTTTCACTCAAGCTGTAGCGTAAAAAAAAAATAAAAAAAATCATCACACATTTGATAACATTGCTTAAAGCGCTGTCCAGACTATTAAATTTTTTTTGACAAAAAACTGTTGTATGCCCATATATAGTCATGATGTGCCTATATATGGTCATGATGTGATGTCATCATGACCATATTTAGGCATGTCACATGTTTTTGTGACAAATACCTGTTATCTGTACATTATAATACAATATGACATCATATCATATATGGGCAAATCACACAAATTTCATAAAAGTTAATAGTGTGGACAAACCTTTAAAATTATAAATTAACAACTTATTAAAATATAATCCCTGCTGGTTATATAAAACCAGGCACTCACTGAAATATAACTCCTCTACCTGTGATTGCTAGACCACATGACGCTGTCTGCTGATTGTCGATGGTCATCTAAACAGATTGTCATTAAAAACGATCCGTTGCGCACGCACCGTTGCATCGCGTTCTTCAAAGAATTGTGTGGCGCAGTGAATGGCCGGTTTAACGTCCAAAAAAAGTTTTAAAATTTCAATCAAAATACCGAATACCTTAATTTATTACAAAAGATTTAAAGTCACAGATCATTTTTATTCATAATAATAATTTGTATACTACGTTCCAAGGAAAAAACATTTTTTTTTGTATTACACATTATGAAATTCTGAAAGACAAGATCCTCCATTAACATTGTTTGCAATTATGAAAATTATTTTAATTAAATCTTAACTTTCAAATTAATGATTAAATAGAAAATAAAACCTATGTACCTGTTGAGAGCATTCAACATCTCTATGGTAACCAAAACGGACAAGGCCATGGTCATGTGATGAGGATCGTCAAGCACTTCACAATTGACATCTTTAAAGTTCTCAGGCTCTAGAGGGCACTGTAGATGATGACTCTAAAAGAACAAAACAAAGTATATTTCATAATTTGTCTACTTTTTTGAGTGGGTATGAAATAATATAATAGATGGCACTTCATCAGATGTAGTTCCATTATTTATTTAATCAGTTGCCATATTTTTTAATGAGGAGTGAATTAATAGCTCAAATATAAACACCAACTACACTGCCCATATACTGTATTTCTCATCACATCTACACATGTCAAACACATACCGTATACACTTACATATAAGACAAGGCTTAAAACAACAAATTACAATTGAACATTACCTTACATACAAAAATCCAAAAATCTATTTAAACTCGGGGGTATTCTTATACGCGGGTCGCCTTATACACGAGTATATATGGTACTCAAATCTATACAGTATTTCCATTGTATACACATTGAAACCATACAAAATCAAACAATGCAGAAGCAGGAATTATTGAGCTCTGTTTAAACTATAGAATTGTGTGATGTGCCCACATATGATATGCGATAACAACATATTTTGACAAATCAAATCAGATGACGTCATAATCATGGCAAAAAAACATTAAAGTCATAGTAGTAGCAGCAACGATTTTATCGTTTTTTTTTTCCATGATTATGAAGTCATCTGATTTGATTTGTTAAAATATTTTGTTATCGTATACACGATAAATCGTTATCAAATCATCCTAGTGTAAAACTTCTATTATTTCTTTTGTTTTCTATATGAACAATTGCTTTTTAGATTTTTTATAATTGTTATAGTTATCGTTGAAGTAGAAACAAGCCTTTATACCCAAATATGGGCAAATCACATTTATCTGTCACATAAAATCTGTTGTGGTCAGAGTCTTAAGGATGGACTGAACTAAATAACAACTTACAACTTGATAGTAATTTAATTGTGGTCCATTATCATAGTACATAAGCCACCATGCAGAGGCCCCGACAGTTGCCACTCCAACATACACTGAAAAAGATAAGATATGACGACTGTGAATAAAAGCTGCTTACAGTATATTTTACTTTAGTTCAACTAAGGTTAGCTACTTCTTTTACAAACAATTTCTATATACAGTACTTAATTAATTTTATCCCCTACAAATTCAAAATAGGGCGGTACAGCAAGTCTTAAACTGCGGTGGTGGAACTCTCCTATCACTCAACTCTATTTCTACCCCTCCAGTTATACTCCTACACTTTTGGGAGTCCTTAAGAGGTTGGCTTTGCTCACCAGAACCAGAGCTAGAAATAAAACACACCTGTGTAACTGAAAAAGCAAAACAAGCTTAACATCTTCACATATATTTAGAATTAAGTTTATATTCAGTCTAAGAGTAAGCAACTTACCTGAATGAACTCACTAACTGCCACTGAGGTGGGGGAAGCAGAAGCAGTTGGGTATTTGTGAGGCAGTAAAGTCTATACAAACCTAAGCCCCTAACATGCTGGACCACATCTGCCACCCATGTGTGGCACCCAATGTTTGACATGGTGGCCCCAGCAAAAGCATGCATTATGTTCCAAATAAAATACTTACCACCAATAGCCATATATCTGAAGAACAACCATCCGCTGATAAGCGATTCCTTAGAACTTCTAGGGGGCTTAGACATAATGTCAAGATCAGGGGGATTGAAACCAAGAGCAGTGGCTGGGAGTCCATCAGTGACTAAGTTCACCCACAGTAGCTGGACTGGGATCAATGCTTCAGGCATACCAAGAGCTGCCGTTAAGAAGATACTGACGACTTCACCGATGTTGGACGAGATCAAGTAGCGGATAAACTGCTTCATGTTGTTGTAGATTGCACGGCCCTCCTCAACGGCGGATACGATGGATGAGAAGTTGTCATCGGCTAAAATCATTTGTGCACTGTGGTCAAGGACAATTTCTTTCCTAATTTTTTTCCCCTAATATATTTTTTAGCTATTCTGCATGCTTTCTACCCATTAAAGGTAATAATAATTCAATAGCTTTCTTTGTATATTTAGCATTTGGTTAAAAATCAGCATGTGAAAAAATGTTTTTTCATCAATAGCAGTTGCATAAATAATTTACTTTATGATTCCTGACGCAGTCCCTTAATATGGACTAATTAAAGATTTACTTTTATATCAACTGGTGTAGTTTTATGGTGCATTGAGGCTGACAAAAAATGCTGTAGCCAGTTCCATTATCAACATAAATACATCCTAATTGTGCATGTAACTTTGAAGCTTGGCCCTATGACTTCATTTAAGGCAGTTGTAATTAATGTTTCTGTTGTCACATACATACATACATACATACATACATACTGTAGAATCACCCATAACATGCAGCTTTATTGTGCTGAATTGAGTATGGGCGTGGTACGTGACTACTTAGCAGCCATAAAGAGGCACTTATAGTAGCTACATGTTCACATCATTCTACAATGGCAGGGGCTGAAAAGAACCATAGCATCGGGGTAACCCCCTACTCCTCCGAAAGGGTTCTTTAAAGTGCACACCAGCCAGATGTATACACTGGACCTCCATTTTAAGTCCTTATCCAAGAAGACTTGGTTCTACCAACCAAACCCTAGATAAGGAGCAGCTGGAACTTGCGCCAATGTTAAGGCTGCAGCTAGCGGCGCCCCTGCCCTAACTGTTCGACTTGACTTGTTGTGCTGTCTGTGTTTGTGCATAAATTAAATCTAAAAAACCTTGAATGTTGAAAAGAAAAAGGATATCAGAGGCAGACTTGGCTACAGCGGTTCCAGATCCCATGGCGATACCAATTTCAGCTTTCTTCAAAGCAGGGGCATCATTCACACCGTCACCAGTCTGTATAGAAAAGTAAAAAATAAAAAATCAAGGATAGGCTCAATAAGGGAAATTCCCAAAACAAAGGGAATTCCCCATGACATCATTTGCCAGAATCTAGTTTACTATAACATGAATGTAGATAGATCAGTTAAATCTTACCATAGCAGATATTTCTCCTTCAGCTTGTAAATACTCTACAATCTTGCTTTTATGTGCTGGTTCCACTCGCGAAAACAGACGTGATCTTCTAACAGCTTCTCTCTGTGCCATGGTGGACAGCTCGTCAAACTCCCTGCCCGAATAAGACAATCCTTCGGTGCTTTCACTCTCGCTGAACACACCAATCTTCCTGCAGATGGCTTCAGCTGTGTTCTTGTTGTCACCAGTAATGACGATGACACGGATACCAGCTTGGTAACATTCTTGGATGGAGGAGATAACTTCTTTACGAGGAGGATCCAACATACCAACGACACCCACAAAGGTCATGTTAGTCTAGACAAAAAAGGAACCAAAATCAGTGTAACCATAACCGAAGTCATTCTCACATTAACAGTGTTTTGCTTTGTATATTTATTGGAATCCCTATTGAAAGGTACTGAAGTAACCAAAGATTTTGTTTCAAACCTGGGTTAGGCATAAAAATGAGTCAAATGACTGAAAACAACAGCAAATTCACAAATTCAATATTATAGTCAGTGTTCAGTTTTCAATTTACCTCATATTTAATGAAGTTAGCAGAGTTCTCCAAGTCCATATCCTCTTTCTTCACTGGGTTGTCGATGGTAGCAAGACCAAGGCAACGGAGAGTATCCATACCTAGCAAAAGGAAAGTGATTTTGTTTTATATTTCTTTTAGTATAGTAATTCCCCAATTATATGACATAATATGACAATGTGATAATCTGTACACCATTTTATCGGGTCTATTTTGAAACAGCGCCACCAACATATTAAAATTGTTTACTGGGGGACTTCCAGCAGCAGCAAACACCAGATATAATCTTTTGCTAATTACTGTATGTAAACATTTAAATAGCTTTTAAGACTTAAGGTTGTTTTTAATATCAGCCTTTTGTTCTTTTTCCATTTTAAAATATTTGTACTTGTTAGTAATTTAGTTTTATCATTTAATTAATCCATGATATGTAATTATGTAGAGCGAAATACTAGGCCTCTGGAAGTCCCCCAGTGGTAGTTGCCAAACTAAGCCACTTCTTCAAGGCCTCTTTGTCAGACTTCCGAGTGGAATATCCAAGAGGATAACCACCAAGTAGTAAGTACCAAGTATATTATAAAGGTTGATTTATTAAGTCTACCCCCACCCCACAAAAAAAAAAACTTGTTGCAAAAAGACTGTGGAATTCGAAAATCGGGGTCGATTTTCTAGGATTCACAACCAACCATCGCCACCCCCCATGCATTTTGGTTGATAAAGTGGTAACCACAGGGCTAAAATATAGGTTAATGTATCAAATGTCAAGAATTTCAGGCTCCTTTTTGGTGAGAAAATATTTTTGAAAAAAAAAAAAGAAAAAAGGGAAACATTCCTGGTATTTTGGTGATTTGAACCTAAGAATCTGGGATTAAAGCACCTTTACCATGAAATACCACAATTAAAAAGGTTTTTATGAAACTTACCAGAACCGTATTGAGTGATTAGATCTATAATCTGAGCCTTGACGGATGGTGTCATGGGAACTCTGTTGAGACCAACACGAACATACGAACAACGATCCAGAATGGATTCGGGTGCACCCTATCAATTAACAAAAAAATATACATTTTATTAATTTTATTAATCATTAAATAAAATCTGTATAACTCAAGCTTTTTATGCCAGTCCCATTGGATTCGACTTGTAGACTCAACTGTATTAGTAATTAATCTTTAAATATTTTTTTTCCAACTAAAAATAAAATCATGATAATGAAAACCACCATTCAAGTTTGTTCTCTTTTTACCTTAGCATACATCTTTGGAGTGCTGCCAGCTTTGGCATTCTTGCCCGGTGAACAGAACACGCTCATAGACTTGCGGTCACGGTTGAATTCCAGGGTAAAATCCTTATTATGTGATGCTAGCAGACCCTGGTTGCAGGCGCTGACTAGTTCATGTGGGCGAAGCCCATGTAGATTCTGACCTAGGACATTCATCTTCTCCACGAGGACTGTCAACGCGGTCTCTGTAGCCTCACCTACTTTCTCATAGGCTTGCTTCGCCTAAGGCGATGGCAGAAAAATGATTAAAAAAAGTATGTAGATATGTTCTTGATAATGGAATGTTTTGAATACAGCTTGAAGAAATAAAATAAATATATAGTTTGTATCAGCATATAGGTGGAAACCAGATTGTTTGGTATGGTACTTATTTGAGAGAGTGATGTTTATTCAAGAGAAGTATTTATTCAAGGTGCTTATTACAATAATAAACATTCACCTTTCTTTCTCATTGTTAATCTTGTGATAATATTGTAATTTAATTATTTAATCTGTAATTCAATTATTGGGATTATCATTTGTAAATTCAATACATAAAAATATATACACAAAGACAACAATAAAATATATTAACATATAATTGCAATATAAAATTATAACCAACATAAAACTAAAACATATTTATTATAGAATATAATTGATTAAGATTGAATTAAAAATAGCATATTACACAAAATCATATATTCAAAAATACCAAATTTACTATACAAAACATTATTCAAATATACCATATTCACTACACAAAAATCTCACATTTCCTATCTGTAATAAAATTGTTTTCATTATATTGATGTTGGTAATTTCAGCCAAAAAAATGCAACTCGTACTAAAAACAAAGTTAGTTGCCTTCACATAAACATAAGAAAAAAAATAATGATTTAGAAAAAAAGCCGGTATGTACGAACCTCATTGAAATCAATACTAGAATCGTTACAGACGGCACAAATGGTTGCTAACTCTGTTACAGCTTCGTAGTTACTCAAATCAGCCCTCACATTATTGATGGTGCTATGATGAAAACATCACATACATTATTCATATTCATTCCCTAGTGGCTAAACATTGTAATTGTATCTTGGAATCTGTGTTAAATTTATATTTTGGAAACTTGCGCTCTTCAATCAGTTGGGCAGCTCTAATATAAAAATCAGTGTTTCATTAAGGTTCTTACTTTACTTATTCTCTTGATACTTGTACTTTTGATCTTTGTTGCTCAGTGTTTTTATTGGGATTATTGGCTCTTGGCTAAGTAGAGGATAAGCACCTCTCTCTGAGTGGAAGATATACGAGCTTGAATTGTTGAATTGAAATAGACGATGAAAACATTGGTATTCCACAGCATTCTAACTGTGGAGCTCCCTCCACAGCATTCTAACTGTGGAGCTCCATCCACAGCATTCTAACTGTGGAGCTCCCTCCACAGCATTCTAACTGTGGAGCTCCCTCCACAGCATTCTAACTGTGGAGCTCCCTCCACAGCATTCTAACTGTGGAGCTCCATCCACAGCATTCTAACTGCAGAGCTCCCTCCACAGCATTCTAACTGTGGAGCTCCCTCCACAGCATTCTAACTGTGGAGCTCCCTCCACAGCATTCTAACTGTGGAGCTCCATCCACAGCATTCTAACTGTGGAGCTCCCTCCACAGCATTCTAACTGTGGAGCTCCATCCACAGCATTCTAACTGTGGAGCTTCCTCAACAGCATTCTAACTGTGGAGCTCCCTCCACAGCATTCTAACTGTGGAGCTCCCTCCACAGCATTCTAACTGTGGAGCTCCCTCCACAGCATTCTAACTGTGGAGCTCCCTCCACAGCATTCTAACTGTGGAGCTCCCTCCACAGCACTCTAAAAGGATTGTAAGTGGAGCCTCAACAATTCTGCGGAGATTTCTTTAGTTGCAACGGTTCTACTTACACTTCTCCAGTAGGTTCATACGTGGTTCCCGACACCTGGAACTGGTGGAAGCTGGCACGGTCCCCCTGAACTTTGTCCAACACAAAGAACTATCAAAACAAATAATTGTTTTAAAAACTGTATTCAGCAACATTTAATATTCTTGAGAAATAGGCGACGTATATTACATAAGCCATAAATGAAAAGCCACACATCCCAATCATAAAAATGTTTCCCGTGTTTCATTACTTATTACTCTTCATCATTCTTTAAAGAACTTTATATTTTATTGGTAACATTTATCTATTAGCAAATAACCATGATCTCAAAATCAGTACTTCCAATATTCAGTGATTTTAAGAAGTTGGTTTTACTATTTTTGGGGTAAATCAAGACTTACTTTGAATACCTTAAAACAGTGTCTCGCCAACTTTTAGACTGATGACCCAATTCGGAAATTCACACATAATCAAGACTAACTAACCCCCTTATCTGCACTAACTCAGAAGGCTGGCCCTAGTGCATCATGGCACCAGGATTTTAAATATACATTAACGTAAGTAAACATTGCATAAACAAAAATAAATATTACCACAAAATCATAATGTATAATGATGATTCTAGCTGCATTGTACTTTGTTGTACAACGGCAAATAAATAAGAAAATACGCAGATTGACGGCTTATCATAATGCCAATAATAATATTAAAAGACAGAAGTGAGTTATAAGCCGATTTTGGTAATTTCTGCCAAGGCTTCGCGACTAACAAAATATTTTGATGACCCACTGGTAGCTCACAACCCACACTTTGTGAAATATTGCCTTAAAACATGGTTTCATATTTTATATTCAGTGCTATTTAGAAGTTGGTCACTATTTTTTTATATTTAGACTTACCCTACATACAGACATCTGGTTGGTGGTCAGGGTTCCTGTCTTATCAGAACAAATGACAGAGGTACATCCCAGTGTCTCTACAGAGGGCAGGCTTCGGACGATAGCATTCTTCTTGGCCATACGACGAGTACCTGTTACAAGGGTAAAGAAATAAAAATATTTACACATGCATCATGAAGTAATTTATTTTTATATAATGTATAGATGTTGATAAAAAGAGCAAGTGAAATTGAATGGGTGATAGACATGATGTTCGGTCTGTAATCCTTTCATGGTTCTGAGTTCAATTCCTGCCTAATATTAACGCCGGCTACACGTTGCATCGTCTCTACTCTGTGCGAGCGCTAAGAGATGCAGCGCTATTTAATTGTCGGTAGCAGTCCAAACGAATCACCGTTTTAAAATGAGGCCTCTACCAATGCAGAGAGTGTCGGACTTAGGACGTTGAACCAGGAACACACAGGTATCCATAATTTAGCACACAAATGCAGATTATACTACAGATGCATAAACATGGCAGAACCATTACGTGTGCAACCTGCTGTTGATATCTCCAGTTTAAGTACATCAAGCTGGTCTCGCTCTGAATATCTGGCCAAATACGAACCACTTTCGAAAGAATTTTAAGTTATGTTAAACGAACTTGTTATACGCATTGGGAAAGAGAAGGGGATTGTCTCTTGATGTGCTTTCCACTTTACCACAAGGGGTGATACACATTGTGGTTACCATGGGTCCCCAGCCAAAATTGTCTTGTTATTCGACTAGAAATCATCAAGTTGACTCATGACATAATAAGTTTATTTCCATAAGAAACAATGACCTTGACAACTTGGCTAGACTGCATTGTTAACACAGAGAAAGAAAACAAACACACAATTATTCATAATAAGTTTAACAACTGAGGTCTTTGACGGGTGTCACGATGTCTTACCGAGAGCCAGGCAAGTGGTGATGACAGCTGGCAAGCCCTCAGGAATGGCAGCAACAGCCAAAGCAACAGCAATCTTGAAGTAGTATACAGCACCCTTGATCCATGAGCCACCGTGAGCGGGGTCAGAGAAATGGCCGATGTTGATTGCCCACACAGCTACGCAAATAACAGAGATAACCTGAAAACGCAAAAGATATTTTTATACTAAGGAAAATTAGAAGATGAAGATGGTAACCAGCTCGCCATGTACAGTACATAAACTTTGTAAAGCACAGATCAAATAAAATTTCTACAACTTGTGTCGGGGAATTTTCCCTATTGTGCCATGCAGCGCTACGCAATGTATCATTTGTATAAAAAAAAATATACCGAACGCAACTATGAAATGAATGTTCATGACTTTGACATAATGATACCTTTGACAATTGCTCGCCAAATTCATCCAACTTTTGGGTTAGTGGAGTCTTCTCTGTCTCTGTCTGCACCATTTCTGTTCGGATTTTGCCTGTGAATGAGAAAAGCATATGAATTTACAGTTCAAAAGTCAAAACATTTTACATATTATTTACGTATATATGAATATTAGTTTCATGAATCAATTATAAATAAATTTAATATGCCAGAAACTGGGTAATATTATTACATGTGAATCACAACGTCAAGCGCTTTAAAAAAAACTATTTACTTAATTGTAAACACTACATTGTTAGCTGACCTCAATGGAGAGTTACTAATTAAATAATTCATACTGTATATTTATGAATATTCTTTTCATGATTATATAACAATCAATCTTAAATGTGGTATTTTCAATGACTTACTGTCATTAGAAAAACTAAGTAAGATCTACATTCACAATGCAGTATTGAAGACAACGCTGTCTTAAACACTGCAGTTTTAATAGCAAAGGTTTTAATAGCAAGGTCAATATTGAGTGTTATAATTAGCTATTTTAAACTTAAGTACAAATTCAATGACATTCTAAAGGTCAATAGCTGCAGTAAATTGGTAGTATGGAGCAATCACAACTGATTGACATAAGAGGTAAATTGACAAAACAAACAAGATGGTGGGAATATGCTCAAGAAAGATAAACAATGGAAGAAAGGAATAAACAGTTTTTTATCACATCGTTTGTTCCAAAATTTTTTTCCTTCACATCCAACAGCAAGTACACTCGTCACTTAAGTCAAATTTTATCGAATTTTTAAATGCCATTTTGGATTCGACTAGGCAATTTCAACTGTATTCATTTAATAATGTTTCCAGAAGGTATGTTGTCCGAATTGTCCAATAGCATGGATATCAATTAGTCATTATTATCATTACCAGGGCCATCATTATCTCTATCATTTATCATTATCAAAATTATCTGTCATCTATCAATCATTATAATAATACCTCTGTCCTCATAGTTACATCATGGAGGTATAAAAATTTTTATACCTCCATGGTTACATCAATTATATGTTACCATGAATGTTATCGGATAATATCATTATCATCATCTATCACCTTCATCATTTTATTATTATTAGTATTTCTTATCGGAATATCGCCTTCACCATCATCATAACACCATACATAATACAACCTTAGTTATCACCAAAATCATAATTTTAACATCAACTAAATGAACAGAAGTCCATTGGATATAGATATTCAGTTATACTGCTGTGAAAACAGAGATATCTCATTTTGATTAATGTAATTTAATGTACCAGGGCGCTCAAAGCGAGTCTAGGTTAAAACAACCAATGTGAACACCGAAAGGAAACATTCCCAGGCCTAATTGAATGTGTTTACATCTACTGAGCTTCTAGTGCAAGGTCACTAATAATGCTTGAGGTTCAGGCCTTCTTCCAATAGCTCCTGAGGAGTTATTACCCAACTTCTATACAGATGTCAGCTTGTTTTCTGATTGAACAGCTTTCACCTGCCTACCGGTACCTCTATTCAAATACGCGCTCCATTTAAGGCCTCTAGTCAAGCCGTAAATCACTTAGAGAAACATAATGAGTTAGTTGCTAGCCCAGACATCATGAAGGATATACTCAATATGAAAACATGTATTTTGCTATTTATGCATTACAAATGTATGCATCAATTTTCCTACAAAGTTGCACATTAAACTACAGTATATCTATAAATAAAAATGCACAAAGCACTGTACTTCTAATACCAATTGTGATTTCTAAGTTGAGATTTAATATTAGTGGTCATAAATGAGAAAGGGTTGTAAATCATAACTCGAGGTCAAATTAAAGTTAATAGCCAAATGCCTTCTACATACATATTTAGACTGTAGTACCATACTATTATAAGCCAAACCCACTGTATATAATATTATATACCCATTATATATTATCATACAGTTCATATTATTTCCTAATTTGCCATATTTTATATGTATTCATCCACATTTATTAAGTTCTATTTACTTGTGTGTAGTATTTACTAATATTTCATTTGCATGTGTTAATAATCATAACAGATATCATACAGTATATATTATCAAAGATAGCATTCTCTGCAATTTCTGCGCGCAAATTCTGTAATAACGCAGTGTAGGACGCCCTCTTGCAATTACAATTACTTTTGAAATTTATGATCTCAGTGCAAATTCTGGAACAATCGCCACAGTAACAACTAGCACGCCCTCTCTCAGTTACAATTACTTTCTATTGTTTTCTGCGCGAATTTGACGCTTCTATTAGTTACACGCAAAACAGCGGAGAACGCTATCTTGTTATTATAAGATCTTTGTTTATAATGCACTTATATTATTTGTAATAATTTAAAGACGACGGTTTTTACGTTCTAATTTCTTTTTTTTTTCTAAAAGAAGTCCAACGATTAAAGCTCTGTCCACACTATCACATTTTTTTTGACAAAAAGAAAACTATTGTAATTATGCCCATATAGTCATGATGTGCCCATATATAGTCATGATGTGCCCATATATAGTCATGATGTGCCTATATGTTCACATGATGTCATCGTGACTATGTTTATGCATGTCACCTGTTTTTGTCAAATAAAACTTAGTAGTGTGGACAGGGCTTTAATTAAACGTTAATGTTTGTCAGACTTTGATCACCTTTGGACGAAAAAAAACCGGTGATTTGAAAGATTGTCCATGAGTTGCATGAACCTCTAAAGCAGTATAGTAGAAATTTATTAAGTTTAAAGGTCAAATTATAACAAATATTATTTACATATTTTTAAGTTACTATTTTGCATAATTTCCTATTTTACAGCTGTCATCCAATGCTTTGTATTTAAAAAAATATTACTAGAGAAATTATTGAACAAATGCCTACAGTGATATTAAGGTAATACATCGTTAAAACCTTTGCTGCACAATTTTGTTTCTCTGCCAACTGAGTAATGAGGCCAGGCTGGCATACATGTATCATATTTACAGGTCAGTAATAGCTATGCATAAAGCCAAATAAAATTAATTGTTAATTTAATGTATAGGATTTAAAATTATTTTTTGGTGATGGTATTTACTATTTGACATTTACTAGTAGTAAACAGGCTAGTTTAAATAATAAAAATATAAATATTTTTTTAAATAAAAGAAATGAAATCTTTGTAATATATTTTGCCATTCATATTTCTACCTCTTCTTAAGCTTTTACAACAATTTGAGTTTTTAAATTAAAATTTTATATAAAAAAAGTAAAATTCTTCTGCTAGTGACCAATCATAATTGGCTGTAGGGGGACAAATCACTAAAAAAAACTTTTGTTGACAGAATCCAATCAGTGCATCATGTAACTAATTATTGATTTTAATTGATGAGATCATTTTTAAGCAAAATTGATTTTACTAAGCATATTCTTTAAACAGATGGTATTTTGATTTTTCATGTGAAATAGAGCTATAATGAGTGCAGGTAATGAGACGCAGTCAATAAATACTGATATTGCTCTTGTAAGACTGAGTGCAGTTAATGAGATGCAGTCAATAAATACTGATATTGCTCCTGTAAGACTGGAGTCCACTAACCTAATTACCAGCAATGGGGAATGTAAATCAATATCTTATGAAACAAATTGTCACTTTCATTCAATGGAGACATTAATTAAGTTCACAATTTCAGGTCTAGCATTATGTACGGAATTAATGGAAGGGGACCATAAAAAAAATTTGCGAGAAGAAATATCAATAGTGTTGATATAATTACTAAAAATTGGTACATTGATAGTGACAAATTTGAGGTTGATGATGACAATTATGGTGATGACGGTGATACTGGTTAGGATGATGATGATGGCAAGGATGATGATGTTGACAATGATGGTGAAAGATGCTTGTGATGAAGACGATGATAATGAATATGATTACGACGGTGATAGTGACTCGTGATAGTGGTGATGATGATGAAAATAATAATTACAAATCCAGATTTGTTGAAATTGATAGTGAAGATAATGGTCATCATAACAATGATAATTACAGATGATAATGTCAATTGTCATATAATGTTAAATAAATTGTACAACCTAAACAAGGAGACAAATCGTCAAAAAAAAAAGTAATTAAACGCTTTGGAGGGGGAAAAAAAACCCACTACAATAATAAACTATTCAGAAAAATACTATTGGCATATGCTATAACACAAGGCTTGATATTTTATAATAATCAGTAAAGGATTTACAGGATATTTTAATCTCACTAATAGATGAGATATTACTAAAAGTGCCCAGTTCTCGCTGCGGCAAAGCGATCAAAGAGAGTTGAATTACTACATTCATTTTAAAGTAAACTAGATTCTAAGGGTAGAGATGATTGTATGTAAAAACATCAATGAGGAAGAACACAGTATGTATTATTTATTATTCTGAACAGTATGATAACATATGGTATTCAACGAGTAAGCCACCGATTCTAATTTATAAATTGTTGTGCGGGAGTATTATATATTTTTTTGTAAATTTAAAAAAAACATGGCGTGGGTTTCAGTCTATAGCAATGCAAATTTAATTAACTATAATTGTCAACATGGTGTGAAGCATCTACGAATGAATACCAGCCTACCAAACTGTCTCCTAAGATATCACTGAATACAATCACAGTGACTTAATAATTGGTTAATTATGATGTTGGCATTCGATGAATAAAACAAAATATTAACTAGTAAGTAAATTGTAGAAAAAATATTTAAAAAAATATTATTAAAGATATATTGTCCCATGCAAAGAAACAAAATAATCATTAACTTGCTCATTTTTATGCAATATAAAAATTATCAACTTGAACATAGAAATTAGTGTATTTAAACATAATATACCCATAATTTTACAGTGCAAAATAATAGATAGAAACATCCAGAAATAATTTCAGTCACTGGAGGTGATTATTATCCAGTGCAAAAATCAGAGTACATATTTTTTAAATTAAATAATTTCTATGCACAAGTTTAAAATTTGCATCTTACTGCAAAATGAGCAGGATATTACAAAATTATTCTTTAATGATCATATTCACTTTCAG